CTTGCGCTCATCCCGGATATGCATGTCTTTCCCTTCTTCCTTGCGTTTCGTCCGTGATACCTTGGCGGCTTGGCTAACTGTGCTGCCCTTACTTTTCGTCGTGACAGCGGCCCTCTTCAGCGAGGGCGGCGCAGGCTCCGGAGTGAAATCATCGTCATCCGGATCCACCGCGAGCAGGCCCATTGGGTCATGCTGCTCCTCATCTTCGTCATCGGTCCATACCACCGTGCGCTTCACCTTCCTACTCGACTTGCTGGAGGACGAAGTAGCCGGTCGCGATGTCTTGACTTTGGCAGGAGGCTGTGGTGTTCGGTTCGGCGGCCTGACCGGAGAAGGAGGCGAGGGCGAAAGAGAAGGGGACGGGGATATGGCTGCAAGAGGTGAAGGCGGATCCTTCTCGTCATCGTCAATGTCGACGTCTTCGTCGCCCTCCACATCGATCTCCGACACTCCCCCTCGTCCGAATCGACCATGGCTTCTGCGCTCGCCTGGCCATTCTCCACCGTCTTTGGCCTCTTACACCTCGGTGGCACAGAGTCTCCTGCCTCATCATCCGAACGTTGCTCGTCGTCCGACTCTATACGACGTTTGGAAGGCTTGGACGACCCCGGGCGCTCCACGACCTGTTTGCGCAGAGTCAACACAGAGGGGCATGCAACAAGGCTGAACAATTACCTGAGACGGGTTTACCGAACCTGGTTTGGGTATCTTGATGCGAAATGACATTGTATGCACAACAGCAGGGACTCTTGAGAATGTGGCGGTAGCCAGCAAGTACCATTGCGGTGCGGTGTGAACAGGCGCGCGACGCGTCGAGGATCGTAATCTGGGAATCGGGCGTCTAATAGACACCGCCACCAATTGTCGCCGGTTTTCAACGAATGAATATTTGAATCTTAATCATTGAATTTAATGTGGCAGGAGATGCCATGCAGCCTTATATCTATCTACAAAGGTGCGCAACGCAGCAGCTGGAAAATTGAGAAATTATCAGGATCATTGCAAAATGTCTATAGGCAGTGCTGTACGGACCCATGAATATCCGAGATCAGCAGCCACTTTCCAGCTGCAGGAAGGACGCTAATAATGGCGCAATCTCACTCCCCGCAGATGCTATCAAAGAGTTTAAAGACGTTATATGCGTGGAACGTGCAGATATTTCGAAATGATGCGTCACAGTCTCAGAGTACCACCGGCCGCAAATTGGATCGACCCGCTCTGCTCAGACGGCTCGACGTCTCGGCACCGAGTACTGAGCTCCAACACAACGTGGGCAAAACCTACTAAGGACAAGTGATAAGCGTAGCAACTCTCGAATACCGGCAGTAGCATGGTCGTTCTTAATCCTGGTTCCACAACCGTGAGTTCTCGTGAATGGCAATTGAGGAAAACATACAGTCTACGCGGAGGCCTTGATGCCGCTCGTGATATCGTCATGTCCCTCGGAATCCTCCTCATGATCATCTGCATCCCATCCTTCCTCGCATCCCAGCGCCTCACCGTACCCCTGAAGATCGAATGCCAGGTCGGCATCCATGTTTCCGACGATCCTAGATGCGGGGCCTACGCTCTGCGATTGGAGCGCAAGCGAAAACGTCGGCGCGTCCGAACCCACCGTGTTGCTTGACGCGCAACGGAGGTTGAGCACGAAGCGCGTGAGGAGAATGCTTGTCAGTCTACAAGCCGCTTAAACCTCGATGGATGATACGTGTGAGAGCTGGACTGTTGCTCACGGTGTGATGAATATCGTCACGAAGCCGTGCGCTTCTGTCTGCGGTCCGTCGATGGTCAGCGGGGTAGAGTAAAAAAATTGAACGAGGGTTGCGCACCCCTCGTACCCGGACAGACATGGCCAATACGACCTCAAGGACGTTGAGGAAGAGCAATGTCCTGCTCGTCGCCATGAAGCTCAGTAATCCGCGATCAATAAGCACTGAAGTCTGACGTACACGAAGTAAATAGTACCTACAATGCCACTGGGTGATTAGCATACAGGCTCAAAACGAAAACATTCATCGACTCACCATCACGTAAGAGGAGGAATGCCAAAGACGTTCACACCTCTGCGCTGCAAGCGGCTCTGGCTGTCTGGTAGGTCTTGAGCCACATAACTACCAGCACGATCAGGTCGGACACGAGCGGACACAACTGGGCTGGAAAACCGACTGCATGTATCTCAGCAAGCTAACATCTCGTCGCACAAGCACCCGAGGCCATACGGCTAAGAAGATATCGAGATGAGCTTGAAAATGAGAAGGTCTAACCGATGCCTTATTTGTTTTGCAAATCTGCAGAAATATACAGGTCGTTCGTGCATAGCGGGTCATTGAGGAGACGGATCACATATGAATATGAGTATTTCGTAGTGAGATACTGCAGACGTGGTCATGAGTAAACGTGAGACTAGGTTACGGCACGCGACTGACGATGTTACAGGCGACCGTCGCCATGCCAATACAAAGATGAGCAAGACCGGTGTCGTGTTTTGCCCGCCGACGGCCTACACGCGCAGGGCGGAAAGTGCTCTCCGTATAGAACGATGAGCTTACCGCTAATATATGTGGATGAACCCTGTTACTGACCTGTTGTGACCGTTTAGACGGCCAGTGTCGTGCCGGTGGACAGCATGTCCATCATTTCACATCTACAGCGGAAATCCGGCGTCAGTACCCGCTATTTCATTGAACGCGCGAGCGAACGGTTACCCGGCCTAATGCGGGTGGAAATGCGCTTGATAGGAGCCGTATCCTGGGAGACATATAGTACTTATTTTCGGTACGCCGGAGAGGTTTTTTTTAATACCTTTGACTAGGATTTTGCTGTGCCTCGCGCAAGGGGCGTCAGGTATGAGTGTCAGCAGTCCTGAAGTGAGCCGCGCTCGGGTACTAATATCAAGGGCCTTAGCTTCGCTATTACGTCAGTATAATGGT